CTGTAATCCCTTGGGAGGTGATTATAAGAGGTTTACTGAATGAAACTAGTTGGGGCAAAAGCATGAGGTAAACTAAAGCAAACAGGGCTAGGGCCATGATTAAAGTGCTGGTGTCCTTTCCAAGTAAGTATGAGGCCTTGAGTTTGAACCCTAGAACCACAAAAAGAAACTAATCTACCACAAACTTCAATGAAACACCTCCTTTCTTACCTGTTGAGGAAAAAAATCAGTCTGCTCACTTAGTTAGCCTAGCAAAAATGAAGAGACAAACTTCCTAGTATTTGGAATGCCACGTCTCCGATAGAAACCATCGCCTCTATTTACAGCTCAAGTTCTCTGATAGGCCACTTGGGAAGTGATTTTATCAGTGAGAAGAAAACGATTCGCTCATGCCTTAACAATTGTAGGCATGAACGTAGAAACTGAGCGATTTTTGTATCCTGTTCAGTGCTAAAACAGGAACTCACCGTTCCGTTTCTTGGCTGCCTCAAACACTAACTTCTACCACGAAATTAAGAAATGACACCAAGTATGAAATCATCAGATGCCAGGGCAACTAGAGCTGTCTCACTGAAGAAAGCCGGAAGAAGAACTTTCAACAAAAGTTATAATATCCAAAAGGTATTTCCTAGGAAAATACCTTCTTGAAAATAGAGGACTACTCAAGGAGACATTTTAGACCTTACTAAGAAGAAAACAAAAATACCATTCCAAAGTTTACAAATTGCCTGAATCTGGTCCATTTTCAAAATTCCCTTTATTCTTGATAATTAAAAAATAGCTTGTAAATCAGATTTTTCTAATTACAGTAAGATTCATCATTAGATGCACACTTACTAAGTGAATAACATACCACAAGGGAAATAATGTTCCAAATATTTTGTTATTTCATTATCATTTTCATACTTGAACGCAGTGATGAATAATGATTTTAATGGAATTTCTCAGGATTGCTTTACTTAAGAGTTCTTTACTGCAATGCCTAAAAGTAAAAGTCTTAAAAGAAATTATAATAAAATCTTAGCTACTTGAAAAATGTTATCATATTTATCTTTATTACATAAGCTGCTAGGTGAAGTTATGCACCTTGGATCTTAACCTTGGATTTCAATAACAGAAACCATAAAAATCCAGTTTCACTAGACTTAATAAGGCACAGTTTGTATACATGATAGAAGAAGACATTATGTTTTGACTCTGTAGTCCCCAGAGTCAGTTGCCTTTAACAGTTCTTTCTTGGTCACAGCCTCAAATGCTATAAAAACTAGGTTTTTCCTAGATTTACCCAGTCTTCTTCATATCTTACTGTTAATATTAATGCCCCCAGAGAAGATAATCAGATTCAACTTATTTGTCCCTCCTCAATGAAATATTTGGGTTTCTGAATTTTCAGAGATAGATTCAGCTAGGCCAGAATTAAAATTTATCTCATGTCATCACAATGTGGTATAACATAATCTACACAGTTTTAATCCTTAAGTCACAAATTCTAATTTAGGGTGAGGCCAGGTACGGAGGTTTGAACTGATGGCGTCCTGCTTGCCATGCAGGAGTTCTACCCCTTGAGGAGTTCTACCAGCTTCTCACACTACTTTTATGCTTTAAAATTTTAATAATAGTGACATCAAAATATCATAATAGCATTATTTCAGTTATCCTGACATCATTAAGAGAGGGGATTACTTTTAAGTAGATTTTTTTAAATTCCTGGACAGTTTTTAGAGATATTATGATGAGTCTCTGAGTCCACAAGCATCTCTACAACATGCTTATTTTTAAAGTAATTGCAGTAACTTCTTCAGGTGGAAAGCAAATCTTAACCGGCGCCAATGCATTCTCCCTAAGACATCCTGCGTTCTGTGTCTTCCTGTGGTCGCATCAGCCATCATTTTTCCCAGCATGTGAGAGCCACAGAAGCTGGAGACCACAAGCAGCGTTCCACAGGGGCTCCTGAGTAGCAGTGGCATTTGGGAAGTGCAGCTCCTGTGTTTGCTGCTGCCAGCTGCATGTCAGCACAACCTCACCATGAGCGTTCAGTAACCGCTGCTACGTCATTCACACCACATCAAACTTGCGAGTATTCAGATCTACTCTAGTTAATGAGCAAGGAATACAGAGTAGGTTAAGTAGTTGTGCAAAGGAGAAGCCCTTCGCCAGAGCCGTTTGTGAATCACGTGCGCCTTGATCCACCTTCTCACCGCCCAACCCCCACCTCCCTTCACCTATCCTAGTTTTAGGATTTGTATTGAATGCTTTGACATCTTTTTGTTGAAAATGATTACTCTATTCTCTCATTTGCAATCTTGCAATCTCAACCTACAAAAGACCATATATCCAGAGGGTTTTATTTTTGCCTCATTTTCTGAAATTTTTTATAGCCCGTTATATAAGAGTAGGGCATTGGATAAAAGCAAACTCTCGGATTTGTCAGAATTTACAGTCTTTCTGCTAGTTGATGTACTAGAGCTTAGAGTTACGCTCACCTTGATAGATAAATAAAATGGTATATGATGTAATACAAAGAACAGTATCAAAGGGTAGGAGTGATATCATAAAAAGATATTACCAGACAAAAAATGCAATGCAAGTGCAAACTTTTGACAAGGGTCCTACATAATAGAACAATTTTTTGGTCCTATTTGGTTTCTGTTGTTTTTTTTTTTGTTGTTGTTATTGTTAAACATATTGGAAAAGACCAGAAAAGTAGTCACATAAAAAAATCTCTAAAGGGCTGGGAAGGTGACTCAGTGGTAGAGCGCTTGCCTTGCATGCTCGAGGCCCTGGGTTCGATTCCTCAGCACCACATAAGCAAAAAGAAAAAAGCCGGAAGTGGCGCTGTGGCTCAAGTGGTAGAGCGCTAGCCTTTAGCTGAAGAGCTGAGGGACAGCGCCCAGGCCCAGAGTTCAGGCCCCACTACCGGACCCAAAAAAAAAAAATCTCTAAAAAGATGTCTGGCTATTATCCCCTTAAATAACAGGATCAGGAATTCAGCGGCGCTCAGGACTGAAGTTTGCTGTGAGTGGGTTTCTGAAGCACTCCTGTTGCTTGGGATTATATTCCCTTGCTCAGCAAGTATTAATAGCACCTGTATTGGCTGAGAGAGGAATAGCAATGTCAGATCTCCTAACTTGAGCCTTGCGAATCTGTTGAAGAGAGCTTTGGCTGGAGGGCTCCAGGGTGGAATTATGAACTCATCTACATGGAGCTTGCGTATGATTCACGTAGATGATGCTGCAGGCTGACCACCGTGGTCTGAGAGAAAACGGCATCTGCAAGATTGCACAGAGGAGGTAGAAAGCCGAAGGACTGACCAGGTTGAAGCTGTAATATAGTGCATGGAGCGGCTACAGGAAGCAAAGGAAAGCAGCTACGTCGCTCAGCGCCAGAATGGGGCACTGTTAGAGTCAGCTCATGAGGGAAGGGCTTTTTCCAAGACGTATTCTTGGGCTTGAACACAGTGAAGAGTTTATGTCATACGAACACCACCCTCTCCATTTCTGTATTCCAGCTGTCCAGAAACAGATCCAAAAACTCAGCAATGTCACGTACATTTAAAACTCCTAGTGATTGACAGCGCAGGTTCGTGGCATGTGTTAGATTTCCTTGGTTCTGCAGCTCTACCTCTGCTCTGTCTCAAATGCCCACAACACACACACACACACACGACCCTCAAATTGTAAGAGGTAAAGACCTATGTGTATCCACTGCCTCCCAAATCCTCCAGGAAACAAAACCTAAGTCTTCCTTGGAAATGAATCATCTCTTAATAGTACTTTGTTAACAAGTCAAATATTATTATCACTATTTTCGAGATTATTTTGAAAAGGAATATGTCATCATAAGCAAGTCTGATACTCCTATGGAACAGTGAATCATTTTTTTCAATCTTAAACCACTATGAAAGTTCCTTGTGAGAGAAATATAAATGCAAATTATGTGTGATGAGATATAACTGCATGGTTTCCTCCTCTTCCCACCCCATGTCCTTTTGTAAATGCAAACTTTAAGACAATGCATTAGTTAAAATGCCTAAAAGTGTTTCTCTTAAAATCACTTATGACTCATTTTTTACTTTCTCTGGAAATCACAGTGAGGTATATAATATATGTGCATAATGAAGAATTTAAATTAACTTGCTTCTGTACTAACCTCCTCCCCATTTTGCAGTAAAGGTGTTAGTTTTAACTAGTGCTCACAAAAACCAGAAATGAGGGTTCTTAGAAACTGGAAGAGATGGATTTTCATCTTTAAACCTGAAATAACCATTTCCTTGAATGGCAGGAAAGGGTGGCATTAGATTGGGGAGCCTTATTTTGGAAATGGTTCAAGAGGACATCTGTTCACGGAGCTAGGAAGTCAAGAGCAGCCAACCAAGCGACCACAGGGGACTAGAACCAACAAACAGACTCCCAGAGGCATTGTAGATAATCTCAGGATTAGCACAGCCAGTGGCCTAGAAAAATCTGCTGTGATCACAGTGACCTAGGGAGATTTTCAAAGTTACCCTGCCCTCAAGTACATAGAAGACCAATTAACTCAATAGCTCTACACAGTCTCCAGAGTTCTGTCAGCTATAAATTTATGTGTGTAGCTGAATTTCAAAACTACTGACCTAGACCAAGTGAACAAATTGCAGTCCTAATAAAATACCTACCCTGAGTGAAGTTTAAGGGTTTTTTTATTGCTTATTTGTTTTATTTTTTTAAGTCAAAAGCCAGGCATGGTAATGCCTCTCAGCAGTCAGGAGGCTACATCAGAAGGATTGCAAGTTTGAGACCAACCTTGGCTATGTAGAAAAACATGCATCTACCCCCCCCCAAAAAAAGTCACAAGATAAAATTATGGATGGCATGATTTTGTAGAGTCCCTAAATGGGTGCCCAAAGGCAAAGAGATTCTTCCTGGTAGAGCCAGTCCCAATGGGAGTAAATCACACTGAAGAATGCACTTCGAATGCGCTAGGGCTCTCAGCACCACACATGATGTGCTTGGTCTGAGCAGTCACCGGGAGCAAAGGCCAAGAATGTGTTCCACAGCCTTTAATGCAATGTAGCCTGCATGCATGCTACCCGCAGAAGAACTGCATTTGCACAGCAAGAAAGCAGCTTCAGAACCAAAGAGCATCTTGTTGAAGAGTTTGTATTCCATCTTGCATTGCTTTTCAAGTCTATTATTGCTCGAGTCAATGGTCAGAAGTATGACTCGATCAAGAGGAATGTAAAATGAGAGTATGGGGTGATGGACCAAAACCAAACGTAAGAATCAGGAGAACATGGTCATCGCCAATAAGAAACATTAACAATGATCCAAGATACAGTTGTGGCACTGAAGTTAAAAACAAAAGGAAGAAATAAATTAAAACTGTTGCATATAGAAATAGGTTTGATCGTGACATTTCCTTCCATGCATACAATGTACCTTGATCCTATTCACCCCCTCTAATAAGAACTTTTAAGTGTTTAAGGCTCCAGAATATGTATGGTATTATACAGATTAATATTTAAAAGTAGTGCTTGTGCTAGTTCAAATTCGTATACAGACCTTACACATAGATGTTCAAGTGTATAGATCCTTCACTAATGATCTTTTTACTATGGCATTTGTGTCCTCGGTCACATTCGTGTGGATTTGGTGTGCGCAGTATCTCTTATTTATTTGTACAACTATTCCTCCAAAGCCATCAGAAAAATCTCACTCTACTGAACACTCACTTTGGTTATCCCAATATTTAAGTTAGGAAGAATTTTTAGCTCACATTAGCAATCAGATCTTCAGCCATAAAAGTTCTATCCTATCTTTAATCCCACTATAAAGACAGGATATTGTTGTTTCTACTCATCAGCTATGGCTAAGGTTGGATGTGTATGGGAAAAGAGTAAATTTTCATAATGTATCTGACCCAAAACAGTTTCATAACTTGATTGATGACCTGTTTCTCTTTAATATAAAACTTTCCCTCTAGGATAACTGTTGTCAAACATTTTACATTTACAAAGGTATGTGCTTCAACATTACTGCTTAAATGTCCAGAGATAATAGTTTATATGACCCCCTTATATTCTCCTCTAGAATAAGTATAAAGCATGTGAGGAAAGAATACACTTGAGCAAAGGGAACCGGTTGACTCGGTGTTACAAGGCTGCGCAACATGGTGACCAAGCAACGTGAAGGCCATTTGAGCCAGAGCTTTGCCAGGTCACTTGCTGGGAAAATTAAACACACGTAATTATCCACTACTTCATTTATTCTCCAGCCTGCATTTGCCAGTCACGGACCAGGCATGCAGAGAGAAAGCCATGGCCCGACATTGAAGAATTGGGAGAAGGAAGCTAGTCGGTCAGCTATTCATAGGCAGTGAGCACTGAAGGATGTCACTTGAGTCTCAGACATGACGTGCATCTGAATTACCTGTGAACTCAGACCCCAGGTTGTTTGGTCTCACCTCCAGAGTACCCAATGTCTTGAGTTGTGGACTAAAAATGGGTACTGCTAACAAGTTCCCTGATGACCCAAACACAGCTGGTCTAGAGAGCTACACTTTAAAACGTGCTGAAAGAGAAATGTGCAGGCGGTGGTAGGTATTCTGAGAGCGACTGGTCCAAATGTGCCCAGGAAGGGAGAGGGTCAAGACCCCACAGCTGAACAATTCATAGGCTCGAGAAGCTGCAGGGTCAAAGTGTGAAGGGCAATCCGGCCTCACAGGACAAACAGACCTACCTGGACCAAGGTGCGCCACGTCTTCCCACAGCGGAAACATGTGACAGCTGGCCAAACACTCCAGCCGGGGGTCTGAGGAATCTGTGCGTAACAAATCCATTCTGAAAACATATAAAGTAGGAGAGAATTTATCATTTTTAGTGAAGTCCTGGAACACATCAGTTTGATTGAAAGTTTCTAGAGAAAACACAGAACATTGGTTGCTGCTTAGCTAAGATGTGAATTTAACTGGTCATTCCGTAATTTTTTTATTTGCTGAACTTGACAACTCCTAAAATGCTGTGTGTGAGTCAACTAGGGAGATGATCCAGAGGGACTGAATCTGGATAATATTCTATTACTATGCTAAATAATAATGGACTATCGTTTTACATGGGCACGGTGGCAAGTTATCATATATCATTAAGGAAGTTAAGTGTCTGGGCTTTGTGCTCACGGTTTTTCCAAGGCCTGAGATAATCCTTAGCAATACTCCTGTCACTGCCTGTGCGGACAAAATTTGCACAATGGTTTTAAAAGAGGGCCATCTTTCAATTCAGTCAAGTTGACAACTGCTATTGACCTCTACAACCTTCAAACATGTATACATTTTAGATTCCACAGCGTTTGGATCGCTCTCTGCATGTGGAATCATTCAGTACCAAACAGAACACAAAAGGAGCATTGATAAATACTGCCTGTAAGAGAGAAATGCTAAGTTAAATCAGAGCCCAGAGCATCTGCAGATGTCTTTGGTCCTGTTTGAACAAGAACTACTTCAAAGTCCGAATGGCTTCAACATTGGCTGAGATGGACTGAGTTAGAACTCCAGTGCCACTAAAATTTTAAAAAAGAAATGACATTGTTGAAACTCATAGCAAAGCCACACACAAAATGCTTCTAAAAGCCAAAATTCTCTTACCAAATGCTCCAATAGAGTTTCCTTTTTAAGGCTTCATGAGTAAATACTAAGATTTTTTTTTATCGTTCTCAGTATTTGGAAGTCACACCTCAAGGTTGATTAAGAGAATAATTATTGACTAGAAGAAATTTTTCACCAATTGGGAATGTGAGCACTCAGTTACCTGGGAACTAGGAAAATAAAATGACATTATAAATTAGCCACACCACTGAGTTACTAATCCACCCAAGAAATTTTCAGGAAGAACTGATAATGTGCCAAGTAATGTAGCCCATGCTCTACACTAGAAAAAACTGTTCAGATTGCTCAGAATAATAGTATGTCTAGTAGAGAGGAGAAAGTGAAGTTACCTATTTTGCCTTAACTGAAAGATTAGTGCTATGAGACAATGCTAATTCCAACTGTATCCTCTGCCTGAAATTAACCTCATCAAAACATGGTTCAAAGTTAGCTAATACTGGTTTGCAATAATAGAAGTTACTCTATTACATTTTTGATGGAAAGAAATTTTGATGAGTGCCGGGTTATTTGGGAGTAAAATGCTAATCAATCAAACCCAATCAATCTATCTCTGTATTAATTTTTAAAAGTACAAACCTTTCTTCGATTAAAGTTAATACACTAAAATAAACTAGTAAATATGAGTACAAACAGATTCCAACACTCATCATTGATCCTCTAGGAGGGGATAATGGTAAATGAAGACAACAGTCAAGCAAGAATTCAAATGGAAGGAAGGAAGGAAGGAAGGAAGGAAGGGCAATATTACAAAAGTCCATCTTATTGAATGCTGACCCAAAGTCACTTCCTTTCATGTTATCACTTCTGCCCCCTTTTATTTAGCATAGACATGATGCTAAATAAAATAATAAAATAAGGATAGCTTAGCCTTTCATGGGTGGTTCATGCTTGTAATCTTAGCTACTCTGGATGCAGAGATCTGCAGTTCCTGAGCCAGCTAGGACAGACAAGTCCTATCTCAAATTAATTCCTCCAATTAATTATCTCCAATTAATTCCTAAAAAGCTAGAACTAGTCATGTGGCTCAAGTGGTAGAGCACCAGCCATGCATGAAAGAAGCTGAGAACATGAGGCCCTGATTTAAAATCCCAGTATTGGCATTTTAAAAAATGATTTTTAAAAATGGCCCAAAGTCTAATTACTCAAAAGTCCTGGAATTTCTAATTTTCAGTTACATATTTTTACTTCCTTAATGGATAGATGATTTTATGTGTTCATATCATTTACTTACCTTGAGCACTGTCGAGGATGGAGACAAGGTATGTCGTGGTTTCTTTTCTTAAATGTTCTTGATCTATTGGAAGATGCTAACGAGGAAATAACCAGGAAGAGTGGAACACTAACATGGTTTATACTTGAGGGTAGACACAAGTGATTGCCGGGATTTGGGGCACTGAAAAGAAATACTGCGTGAGGGAAATACAAAAGACCTCGAGGATTTCACTTGTAAAGCTGAAGCCATTAGCCACGTCTATTATCTAGTAAGTAATTTTAAAGTATCTTCACTAATCAATGTGAAAGTATCCTTGCTGAGGAATATTAACACTAGCCTTGCACCCCCTTAAATATTTATCAGCAGCTTACCTTTTAACAAAAGCCATAATTTCCTTTAACAGAGCAGGGACCGTGTTCATAACCAACTAGTCAGTGAAAAGGAACAGAAACACAGTGGAAACGTGGCGATGTTCTCCCGGTAGCCACAAATTCAAGTGGGAGCCATTGCTATGCTTCTTCTTCTTAAGCTAAGGAAGAAAAATAATCTTCCTCAAGCCATTTGTGGCTGGAATATAAGGAGTTGGCCCACAAGCACAAAAAGCCAGCCTGTCGTAAGCAGGAGGAAAAAAATGTATCTTTCTCGCTTCCCTCTAAATGAATAATTTATTGCTATTCCACCTGCTGTTCCCAAATGCATGTTAATGAATCATTGATTAATCCCAAAAACATATGTTTGTAATTAAATCACAGGTTCTATAAGATCATTAACCAGTCCTCTAATACCTGAAATTAAGGAGAAACTGGGTGGCTTAAATTCTTGGATGCCACAAGGAATACAAGCAGTATTTTCTGTACGAAGGTACTATTTCTGTGTTGCTTTTCTTTCTCCTAGAACTTCCTGAGCATCTAACTTGTTCCTGTACGGAATGTGTTTTAGTTCCTTTAATACCAGTAGAAGTATTATTCAGTTCCATCTATTGAAGTTCTGACTCAGTCAGCAAGCAGATAATAGCGTTGTCGCTCGTCCCAAATTGTGTGTGTGTGTTTGTGTGTGTCTTAGTTTAACCTTATTATAATCTTTTCAAGGTGACGTGTAATTTATGTTGATGGAGCACCATGTTATTTGTGCTGGGAAAGGCATTATGAATGATTGCACATAGGTTTCAGCATATGCAAAGCTCTCCAAAATTGTTACAGCTTCTGGGAAGCCATATAGCAGTGATTTCCACTAATGTTTTTAGTTCTGTTTGACTTTCAGCTGAAATGGCTGCTTATACTTTTATCCACTTGAATCTTGAAGCTGCAGTCAAACGAATATGTCCGGCTCTCTTTTGTACACATTGTTTTATCTGACAGGATAAATTTGTTAATGGAGGGAGGTAAATATTAGAAGCTAAAATCCTATTTTTCTTCCTACTATTGTTTCTGAACTCAGAATTGCAGTATGTCTGTCATAACATCTGTTTGTATCTGCAATCTCTTCTTCTCCTAGAACCACTGCAATATTGGTTCCGTGCTCTCACCTGTTTCGTTCGCTTAGTCCAGCACTTTCTAGAGCATGCCCAAGAGTCCACAGGGGCAACACTCAAGGTTGGGTGTCCATCGATGGTCTATTCCTGTCACTCTAGCTGACAAGCTCAAATCAACTAAGTGCTTCAGAAATGTGTGTGTTGGTATTTGGGTTAGAGAATGGAAAACAATGACATCCATAATTGTGTTATCCTCGGTCCTCAAGGTACCAATACAGTGTCTTTATAATTTCAAGTTGTTAAAATGTGATCACAATGAAATAAAGCTTAGGATGTGGGTGTGGAAATGCCAACTGGTTCAAAGTACACTCAGTGATGACCGTTACTGTGTTTACTACCTGTATACACGGGTGCAGTGTCCCCTTCCTTAAATGACGAACTTCGCGGCTTTCTTATGGCCACTTTCCACATGGAAATAATTCATCCATCCACTCCCTTGAAGCTCTAAGGAAGGTATTGCCGAGACAAAGGAGCCATTTAAACCAAAACACAATGGGTTCAATAGCTTAGCTATAGGATGGGAGTGAACCATCACTGCAATACAATATTGAAACATCTCAGGATGCAATAAAGACATGTAGAAATTCCATGCAACTATGTCAGGCCATTTGACTCTTCAATTATTGTTCAAATACAAAGCCATTTGGTTTATCTTGCCATAGGCCATGGTTGAAAGGTCAGTGTGATGCTAACCTGTTCCCAGGATAGAAATGTTAAAAAAAAAAAAAAAACAAGATGATGGGTTGTTTGTTTGTTTGTTTTTAATGATGTTGTATTACAGGACAGATGTTAACCACCAGATGAAAATGAAGATTTCTTGCAACCTTGTATCGTCTGTGTGTATCTATTCTTACTAGCCTAGGGAAGAGAATAAAATTTCCAGTTTTCTGCTGATCTCATGTCATTTTCCACAGGCAACACAACACACCAGCACACAGCTCCATTCGGGTACAAAACTGTTGAAAGAGAAGAAAACGGGGTTATTCAGAAAACTTGGAATATTTTTCAGGTGTGAAATATGAATTCTTCTGTCTAGGTTTTCTCCAAAAGATCATTTTGGCCAAAGCCAACAGTCTCTAAATCTCCCTTAAGCCATTTGTATCACAAATGTTGTCATGCTCTAGCTGTGACAGTTTAGATTCATTAACAAACTGTTAATATCATTATCTAAACACAACACTTGTATCTTCCCATTATGAAAAGCTATTACAGACGTATATGGATTTCTATAAAAGTTGATATCTATATGCTTTTTATATTAGAAACCCATGTGGAAACAAAATTAATCTGATGAATGCTGTTAATTATTTTAACTTTTTCTATTAGGTACAAAAAATGTTCATAAAATTATTCTCTCTATAACTTACCAAGATTTATCAGCTTGAGTAATTTTTATAATCAGAAGACTGGTTTTGTAATTAAAGTTTTGTCAAAGAAATATGAATTGTGTGGCTCCTTCCTTCCTTGAAGTCATGTGACTGAAATACTAGAAATGCTGTCGGGTTTTCTCTCCTATTCTCTGTGGTTGGGAATGGGGAACCTAGAAAGTCCTGCTAATGAGCGAGAAATGAAAATGAAAGTCTGAAAACCATGAGGGACATGCTAGAATTAGGAACTCCAGGTAGTCAAAAGCTGGGGACCCCGCCACATTTGGTTAAATGTTGCTCTTTTATGCCAGGCTCAGCTACTCAAGAAGCCAGGGTAAGATGATAGCAAGGTCTTACCTCCATCAATAAACTGAGCGTGGCAGTGTGCTCCTATCATCTTAATTACACGGGAGGCTAGGGGGAGGATTGCAGTCCAGGGTCACTTTGGGGGGGAAAAAAAAGACTCTCTGAAAAGTAAAGCAAGAAAGGACTGGGGACGTGGCTTCCATGTAGCTGGCCAGTCTAACTCAAGAAAAGATGTGGCACCAAGTTCAAATAACTATCACCAGAAAAAAAAATAATTGTTACTTTTCCAATCTATTCTCTGATCAGAGCAATCTGTGGATGTGACCGCCTTAACCTGATCAGTCTTAACATCAAATGTGACAAATCTCTTCAGAGCCTTGATTCTTCTAGTCTAACCTCCCCTCCCCAAATGCTTCGGGAAGATAATAGTTGCATCTCAAAACAAAGATATCCTGGGAAATTAGAATGACAGGAATGGCCATGAAAGGAGGGCAAGTACTCAGCTTCATATTTTCCCAATGTCATTGCCAAATTGCGGAAGATTCTAGCAAATATAGACTTTCCTTCTCCAAACGGTCTGCCCTGCCTACTTACATGGAGAAAACTGTCTGAAAAAGTTAGGAGAGTGGACTACATGTGTCTTACCCTACCCCATATTTTAGGCTGGTTGTAATATTTTCCTTAGAAAGGAAGTAACAGAGAAAGGGGGAATCAGAATGGCCTATTAGGAGAGAGAAAGCAAAGATGTCCGTGTTATTTGATAAAGTTACACTTATAGCTTGCTGAAATACAGATCCAACAGTAAAGAAAAATCTTTACCTATCAAAGTCATCTCACAAGGAATGACATGTTAATTTAAAAAAACAAACACATCTGACATGGGCACTAAATAAGTATGCAAATGATGTGTCGAGTCATCGTCAGGAACATTTTAGGTACTATTCGCCAAGTCTTCTTTATAGATTCCTTGGGCTGTGCATCTTCCTGTGGTGGAATAACAGAGGAGACCAGCCAGTGCACAGAAAGGAGTGTTAACGAAAGGAGGGGTCTCTGCAGCCCCTAAAGTCAAGTGTGGTTTCACATCTTCATTATCCATTCAGAACTGCTGAACCTGCTTCTACAAATAAAGCAGACAGGGGTCCTAAACCCCACCAGAGAAGGCAATCAAAAATGTTAAAGATCCAAGCATTAAGGAATAAAACTCACACACATATCTACACACACACACTTGCCAGAAACATAAGTTTTGATGTGCACTTAGGAGAAACACATACCAAAAATATAGTTAGGCCAACAGAGCTGAATAAAGATGCAAGAAAGCAAGCTGAGAGTCCCTTTTGTAATATTTATAAGAAATAAATAGGCCAGTGCTACTTGAGGTGACTTGCAAGATGGTACTGAGAGATGAAAATAGCTTTTTACTCATCACTGGAATAGAGGTTGGCCACTTCCATTTCCGAAAGAGTTCAGGACACACTGGAAGGCTCAATAGTGGAAGAAAATGATTGGAAGCAGTCAGATTAATACACACACAAAAATAGACCGTGGCTCAGGAAAAATAGAGCAGTGACCCACAGAAACCATGCAAGTTGGGAGGAAAATAATAGATCTGAGCCAGTGCGCCCAGAATATGCTGTACTTGTTCATTCTATGTGGAGTGCTTGTTGCGGAAAGATGCTTGAAAAGGCAATCGGTGGTATTTCTAGAAGCCAGGACTCATTATCACACTGCTCTGAGAGCAAAGGCAGATAGGTAGGGGATGCTTTTTGGTACTGAATACTTTTCTGTAGGATTTTTTCTTCAAAGGTCAATGTAGCAATCAAATGTGAGCCCAAGAACCTGCAGCAAGAACCTATTCGTCCCATCATGTCTTTCTCCATTGCTGAGGAGATTTTGGACAAGCATTGTTAAATGGAGGAGCAGAGGTGATCCTTCAGCTCTTAAGTGATTGAACGATAACATTTTAGCCTGTGTATAAAAATAATGAATGTGTTCCATCAATGGTATCTAGCACCCCTCCTTTCTTCTTCCAACACTGCACATCTAGCTGCTGTAAAGTTCACAAAAGAAAGTCACCATACCCTAAACCTTGCTGATTGAACTGTGAGTGACTATGGAATCCCTCGTCTCAGCCAGCTTCCTCACCCTACATTATTCACAATCTAATCCTGTATCCCAAACTGCAGGTCTTTCTACAAATACCAACTTTCTGTTGCCAATGCCCTTTCAAAGGACGATCACTTTCTCGTGATGGAAATACAGTATCTCTTCAGACAATCACGAGGAATGGCCTCCTTCTATCTGATATTGGCGTTCATTCTTTAGTCAAATTGGAGTGGATCACTGTCCCTCTTTCACAGATGTTCCACCATGTGGAGTGCACTCTTGTTCTCCTAAGGAGCATTACATCACAGGAAAATTTCCAGCCTTCCAACTGTTTCTCCGGGGGTATAATTTCCCAACAACACCTCATTCATTACAGGAGATTCTCAGCATATTCCTTCCCACCAGTGGCGAGCACCTGGAATGTTCTTTCTCAGAAGTTATTCAAGGAGGACGGGTGGGGGGGGGCATCTCAAATTCTAGTCTCTGTGAGTGCTCTTCCCGAGAGAGGAAGCTTTGGCCCCACACCTCATTCTTCAGATTCGCCTCTTCACCCAAGCTCATACCCACAAAAAGGAACTTTCCAGTTACTGAGGCCCACAGGCTGTAAATAGCATTCACAAAAGCAATGTGTTCTTATTTCCTTGTATACTCCTGGATAATATAAGATGTTTTCAGTATTTCCCATTTCCAATTATTTCCACTTTTCATTATTTTTACATCACTAGAGTATGCCAATCTGACAGGTAGCTTGGGAATTAAGCACAAGGTGTTTTGAATTTGAAATATTTGGATTCACTTCAGATTCTGTATCTGAAATTGGCCAACCCAAGTCTGTGGTTGGGAGAGTTATCTCACTTTCCCATGTCTGACTTCCCTGGGATCTTAAAGTGTGAGCAGGTAATGCGTGGAAGCATCACGAGAAACCCCTCACTTTGTACATTTAATGTGCGTTAATAAGCTATTTCAATGTGAATTATGAGTCAGCAAGTATGTATTGACATATTACTATCATTTGTTCACTGATTTATCACATTTATTTCATGTATTCTTACTTACGCACATAGATTTGTACAAAGCAATTACTGTAAAGCTCTCAATGTAGAATTTCATCACACAAGGACTGGATATTACTACTATTATTGCTACTGTTATTACTACTATTATTTCTCCCTTCTTGAGAAGAGACATTCCCTTATAAAAGGCATACTGAACTTTGATCAGTTTGTTCTCTATTTTTTGTCTGCTGTTCATTTCAGCCTCAACCTTTGGGAAATTAATAATATATTGTACGTTAACTATGTCTATCCTATTGTCAAAGAACTGAGATGTAATGACATTTATGAAACATTAACATTCTGTTAATTATAGAGCAATCTTTCTTCAGTGACTTGGAGTCATCTGATGAATTCCCGTTATTACTGCCCTGTGGCTATATAGAAGACAGGCATTCTAGGGAATGGTTACAATTAATTAATTATGATGAAGAAGGGATATACTGTTTTTAGTTGCTATATCAAAGAGTTACTTTTTACATAACTTCAAAAATTAAATTTGTATTCACATTTCTTCCAAATGAATCTACTTTTACTTATTTATGTATGAGTTAGCACACATGTAGAATATGGGGGAGATTCTGTGATACTTCCATATATTTACCTGGTGGATTTGAAACAAACACAGACTCCACCATCTTACACACCTTATTCCATCAATTCCTATCCTTTCTCCATTTCAAATAGCATTTTCTGGACGGTTTGTGAATGCTGTGTATAAGATGTTTAGGCCATAAAAAGGCATATAAGCACAAGGGCAGATTGGACCAGATAAGAACCAGCAGCAAAAAAAAAGGAAATGTCAACAGAATTTCAGGAGTTTGAATGTCGATGAAAATTCAGTCATTCATTTAGGAGACAAATTAAGCTGAAAGCCAAAAAGGCCAAGGAAACTCCAAATGAAAACCGGCCTAATTGTTTTTTTAACCATGAAACCCTCGGCAATCGCACGGATTGGGTGAGCAGGCAAGGTGCGGGTCCTTGCGGAGAGACCTCAAGTCAAGCTGTGGTGAGCTGCGGGGCGCCACATCTCCCCTCTGTGCCAGGGTAGAGGATGCCCAGGACTCCACAGAGGCTCTAGAAACTTCTGTCAGATGAGAAAGAAGACCAAGGGAGTGCGGAGCAGAAGAGAAGGTGGGAGCAGAAGGAAAGGAAAGAAAGAGAGGACGAGAGGGAAGGCAGGAGCACTGCAGAGCATGCAGAACGAGGCGAGGATGGAGTAGTCGCGCGAGTGGCCCTGGCAAGCTCACCTTGACGGGCCTTGTTCTCTTAAGAGAAGAAGAGGGACGGGCACACGCTGGGCCGCCACACACTGTCCCCAGGCTTCTGATTTTTGCAGTGTGTCAAAGTTGCTGGACCACTTGGTCAAAACAATTCGTTCACTTCCCAGGGCGTCCAGGGCTGCTGCAGAGAGCAGAGCGTCATCACCCAGGACTGCCTGGCTCTCCCAGGCCAGCCCAGCCCTCTGACGGAGGAGGAAAAGAGGGCTGAGAGCTGAAATCGGTGACCGCATGCCCCTGACTGCCCTGGGGACATTCCCATCCATGCAACACCATGACCTTTGAACAAACACATCCACTCCACCATGTCCCATCCCTCTCTTCTTCCTCCTTCCTCCTTTTGCAAGTCTGTGGCAGGTTTCATTCTGTTCTATTCATAGATATTGACAGATGACTATAGACATGGCTAAGAGATGGAGAGCAATAATATTGGATTCTCTCTGTCTTTCTATTAACACAGAAATACATTTCGATGCTGTATTGGTTATAAAAGGTAGTCCATTCTAGTTTATCAACAAACAAGGGTTTTGGTTAGGGTTAAGGTTAGAGTTAGGGTTAGGGTTGTCTCAAATCTTCCTTTCAAAACAGTAGTCTCTTTGATTTTTCTCTCTATATAGAATGTAATGAAATGTAAGATATAATTACAGAGCTGACTAGAAGAGTGCTGTGGACAGTGTATCTCATTTAGTCTCCACAAATACCCTATGAAGCATGTACCCAGGGCCCTCTCCCTTTAGACCTGTTTTCCTGGTTAAGAAATTGAGTCTTCAAGATGTTAATACTTTCTCAAGATCACAAGCCTAGGAGAGAAGAGAGCTGAGACTTGAACCACGCTCTCAGAGCTGGTCTCTGTTGTGAATATGTAAGCCTCCTCTCTGACACCTAAGAGTCTATACCCATACTAAGAATCTAGACCCATACTCTTTACATATAGTCAAAGTCATGGAGGTCACAGCAAGTGGCTAGAAAACCGAAGGCTGAGGGGGGGGAAACTAATGGAGTATCTACTTGGTGTTTTGAATACAAGCTTAAAAAAATAGTATTATTTAAACAATTGCCATTGGCTTCTCTCCTAAACTTTCCAATAGATTCTGAAGCCAGTTAGAAGACAACACCTAAAGTTAAATTTAAAATAAAATAAAATCTTGGGAAGAGCATTTTTGGGGGGGGGTCCTGTCGTGGGGCCTGAACTCTGGGCCTGGGCGCTGTCCCTCAGCTCTTCAGCTCAAGGCTAGCGCTCCACCACTTGAGCCACAGCGTCACTTCCGGCTTTTTTCTTTTTGCTTATGTGGTGCTGAGGAATCGAACCCAGGGCCTCAGGCATGCAAGGCAAGCGCTCTACCACTGAGCCAACTTCCCAGTCCGGGAAGAGCATTTTTGCTGTGCAACTGAAATAGTGTTTTCAAAGATTTTGCTCTTGCGGCGTTAGGGTTACTGTTAAAGTGGGCAAGAGAGAGATTGGTGAGGACGCACCTTGACACTGCAGCTCCTGCCTGGTGGGCAGTTTTGCTTTCTTCAGCATTTCCATAAGTTTAGTTGGGGCTTCTGCCAAATGGCCTAGTTAGTTCTTAGTACAAATCTCAGGCCCCCTCTCAGCCTATCCTGTTTTCCATTGGACTTGACCTTGAAGAAATATTACCTTTGGCTTGTTGGGCGGGACGGAGGTGAGATGACTTCCTGCTCCGGTCTCAGTCAGCTCTGCTGAATCAGGGGAATTTCACACCAGAAGGAACCTGGGGCATCATGAATCACCAATGCGTGAGGTCCGCCCGAGGAGCTGTGCTCCACACCGGCTGCTGCGGCTGCGGCCGAATGTCCCATTGTACACAGAGTTTCCCCAGACGCCCCTCACTTGGCCTAGTGAGATGAAGTCACTTCCCCCTCAACGCATCTGTCACTGGAACCTGAGAGGGAGCTACTACTTGCCTCTATTTTTAAGAAAAAGTTGTGATTGTTTTTCACCTCCCACTTGATTTTCAAATGACCTATAATTCAGATATCTACATTTACTTATATGACTTGTCTATATGTATATGATTTTGAGTTTAAAATTACAAAAACCAAGAAGGCAGTCTTTTTATACATTTAATAGAAGACACTTTTAATCACTTGTTATCTGGTATCTATTAGAAAGAGAGCTCAGTAAAATATGCATAGAGAGAAACATATTTTTGCAGGTCATGGGGCTTGAACCAGGGCCTGGGCCCTGTCCCTGAGCTCTTTCGCTCAAGGCTAGTGCTCTACCACTTGAGCCATAGTGCCACTTCCAGTTTTGAGTGGTTAATTGGAGATAAGAGTCTAATGGAGACTTTTCTGCCAGGCTGGCTTCAAATCACAATCTTTAGATCTCAGCTTCCTGAGTAGCTAGGATTACATGTGTGAGCCAGCGGCACCCAGCTTGAAACAAAATCTTCAAATGATGATTTTGTTAATGTTCTTAGCATGTAATGGGAAGAAGGTTGTCTTTGACTGGTTACAGGCAGCTTTCAACTGTAAAAGAAAATGAACACTACGTTCCTTTAGAACTTTTCAAAGGCTGTCAGAGCTTCCTTTAAGGAGAGCTACATGTGTCTATCTGACTGTCTTTACATATTTCTGTCCATCTGATTGTCTTTAGGAGCCTGGGCAGCTCAGGATGCCACAGGCAGCCCTCTACCCCTGAGACTGTACCTCTAGCCCTTTTGAATTGCCTACTTTTTTGGCTAGGGGTCATGCTCTGTGCTGTGGAATTTAGGCTATCGACCATCTATCGCTCCCTGCGTGGTGCGCTACTGAAGAATGAAGCCTGAGATCATGGTGGGAAAGCAGGCTGCCTCTTGGGTTTGGGGGTGCGGTGGGGAAGGGGGTAGTGAAGAGTCAAAGTGTGCTTCAATGGCACGCACTTTGGGAAATGGTGCGCACGTGAGAGACGATGTGCACCTTCTTTATAGTTTAATGATCCACGATCTGCTACCCATGTGTTGAAAAGATAGAGGCGCTTACAGGAATTCACACATTCCTGGAAAAGAGAACCGCTCGCTCACTTGAAACAAGCAAGCCATGCCTGCTGAGCTGGCCTGAGGTGTCAGAGGCCCCAGATCCCTGGTTTTGTAGGGGAAGAAATCCAAGTTGAGGGAGGCAAGTTGTCCTAGCTTCTATCTACGCATGCGTAAGACTGTGGCAACTTCCATTCCAACTTCATGTCTGAGGTAAGTGTTTTGGGGTAAGGCAGTGTGACCCACAGAGTCCAAACTCAGGCATTCTCAGTGAATGGCTAGATTCAACAACGGCTCTACCACTTACCAAACAGGTGCATAATTAACTCATTTTTCTCAGCCGTGAAGTAAGTTATAACAACAGTATATATGTCAGAACTTTATAATATGCACACATACACTCATATATATATATGTATATATGATTATTAAGGATTGAGTTAAATAAGTATTTTAAAGTCGCTGGCATTTACTAAGGTATTAATCAGTATTCATTGAGGTTATTGATCCTCAATTATAGTTTGATACAGACTTGAGCTAGCATTAAGAGTTGGTGTCTTCCCTGGAATGGAGAAGTTAGAACACAAACTACACATGTCACGTGCACAACAAAACCTTTTTATTGTTTTCACGGGCTCACAGGAGACTCGTTTGCGTGTGCTGTGCTGCTGTTAGACTGGACAGAGTGGGAAGGCCAAAGGTAAAATACCCAGGCATGACATCAAATCTCAATCCAGGAAATTGAAAGCGGAGCACAGGAGAATCCTGATTCTAAAAGGTTGCACAGGATGAAATTTTTCTGTCCACGGACATTGGGTCGTGACACATGACAAGTAAAACTCTCAGTGGAATCAGCGTCTAAGATCAGGAGCTAGTTGCCTTGGTAGCTGTTGTTCGTTTGCATGTTTGGTGTGGTTACCACAGTAGAACAGCGCTTTTGTTTCTAGTCTTTGGAAAAGAGGCCCACTCGTGTGTGGCAATAGTCTCTATGGTTTTCAAATACAATTGACACATTGTGAGAATAGGTTTTCTGTGAGTCTGTATTTAGCCCCTCGTCTCCCCTCTCTGCTCTCCCTGTCTGACTCTCTTGATGCTCAGAAACACAAGCACACCCCCTCACGTGCTCTCTGTTCTGTCTTGGGTTTTTTTTTCATCATTTCTCTACTACTTTCTCTCCTGCTGTTTTTGTGTCGTCCTTCAACACACATGATTTAGAATTGAATTGTTTGCTGTGGTGTCAGTGCTGCTGGGTAGTAGGCCCTTGTAACCACCAGAGACCCTTGTTGACATGTACAATTCTCGATGTAGACACACACAATCGATGGGAGAACCAGTTAGTTAAGGCTGTTGCTAAGGACACGGGATAAGGAGTACTGTAGAATGTTTATTGGTTGTTCTACTTTTTTGGAGTATGACCTTGGGACATTTCCTCTTGGTTAGACAAGGAAATCAGTGACATAACTCATAGAGTTATTCTTGAGTTGCTGGGAAGACTGGCAGCACTGCCAAATGTTCCAAAATATTCCCAACCAGTGAGCATTTTTACCTCAGCTTGTGGTGTCAGGAAAGTCCACACAAATCACTATTATGGTCAAATGGAGAATTACTGAATAGGGCGAGTTGGCTGGCTCTTTTAACGTAAGGAACCCCATTTTAAATCCGTCCAAGTCTCATATTTATTACCCACCACGTTCCTGAATCTTTAGATTTAAAATAAACAATACCAACAAAACCAAAATGATTCAGAATGTCAGTGCAATATATTTTCTTTATTGAAAAGAATGTACTCGAATAACACAGCTGTGGCTTGAAAAGAAAAGGGAGAGAAATTATTTTAAATGTGTGGATAAAGAGAAACTGACAAGGATTAAGCCATTTGTTCCCAACACAGTAGTTAAAAGTCCTTCAGTTCACAAGCAACTGGGCTAGAACTAATGAGCCAAACAACTTTTGCACATTGTCATAGAGAGTTCTTCAAATGCTGTGTACACGTTGACCGGACAGAGTATGCTTCTACAAGCGTCCAAGATAATGTTCAAAATTCTAACTGTCTACATAGGAAGAATTAATGGGTGGCGGATTCCAGGACATTTTTTTACAACGTGAAAAGCATCAAGTTCTATAGCTAACACAATGAATGAAAAGCTGAAGCTACTCTGCGCCTTGCTATTGCTTATGACCCCATTTGCATCTTGGGGTCACTATTTCGTTAGTCATCTATGCAGGTTGAAGAGGGAGCACTTACTCTATGTTGTATGCTTGGGGTTGCACTTCAGGATCAACACTTTGGCATCTGAACATGTACGTTCTCTCAAGCTTCAAAGAATAAACACAAGTAAGCCACTACGTTCTTTGTCAGCGTGTTTCAACACATGCACTGGAGCTTGCCACTTATTTCTGAAGCCCGGGTGAACAGGTGTGGGGGTTTCTCGGCCTCCCAAAACAGGTGCATATTTCTCGCCACAGCCACCACCATTATCGTGACTCTCCATCCATAACATGGGTGCTAGCAAATCGGGAACTGCTCTGTTTAAGAAAACAACAACATTTTTGAGGTGCATCTTGTCCATGGATTTCTACTCCTGTTCAACACTTTTCTAGGTTAACGATTCACAGACTCAGAACCATGTGTCTGACTACAGCCCCTGAACCGCACGCGCTAAGCCTTAGACGTGTGTATCTACTTATTTAAACGCGTCTCGGCAATGGGAACTAGACCACTCATGTCGGGGGAGAGCTGTTTTGTCTTTTATAGCGCAGGATGTTTGTTGTGGGCAACTACAGAGAGATCCTAACGGTGAAAGCCTAGTGGGAAAGGGCTTCAAGATAGCATCTAGCCAGAATGACTAGAAGCTATACCGTGAACCACTACAAATTTGTGTGCTGATTTTTTTTTTAATGAAACCAGTTACCATAAGAAGATGGCCTATTTTCCCATTTCTGAGAACTCCAGATAGAAAGTAAGTGTTACTCACCACACAAAACTTCCATGAGAATTAGAGCTGTTTGATTCAGGCATACACATGTGTATATAAAGATGTATATGCATACACAATAGGATAGTTAAATAATGAATGGGTGTATAGCTACATAAGATAGAGAGAGACAGAGACAGAGAGGATTTTCCCATGAAGTGGACAGACATACTATCCAGTGGTAATGATGTTTGTCAAGAGGCTGTGAAGGAACCCTGGAATCATGCAATCATTCCCCATTGAGTTTTAGTTGAAATTTCATCTCTGCATGGAAAAAAAAATGTCCTTTCACCCTGCTACAGTCTCCAAGTGAGGCTGTGGGCATGTCCGGAAGTCAGGCAGCTGCTGCTTTTAGCCCCTGCTTAGCCACAAGTACAAGCGCAACAGGAAAAACTTCCCACAGAATGCAAACTGCACAGTCCTTCCCTCCTGCCAAGATTTAGTTTATTAGTCTGCTCCTGGGTGCTATTTTATTTAACTCAAGGCTTCATGCTTGCAGGGGCTCTACCGCTTCAGCCAAGCCTCAGACATTTTGTTTTAGCTACCTTTCAGGTAGCTAAACTAGCCTCAGACTGCCATCCTCCTACCTCCCTCCCCCCTCACCTAGCTGAGATTACAGAAGTGTGATACATGCCTGAGTTTTCTTTGAGATAAGGTCTCGGTGACATTGTTTTTTTTTTTTTTTTTGGTCTAAGTGGGCCCTGGACCATACTCCTACCTCTACCTACCAACCAGCTTGGAAGTAAGAACCATGATTCTTTAGCTTGATTTTCCTAACCCTGGGACCACACAAGCATGCATATTAAATGACTCAGATGACCAGCCTTGCCGTAAGGGTGAAGGATCTCCACTGACTGGTATGCCACCATGCTGTCTCTCTGTTGAGCGTGAGTTAGGAAATGTGAACAAAGGCTGAAAGAGGTTGGGCTGCGTAACATCTAGACTCTCCCATGGCACTGATGTTCTAGAAATACATCCCAATAGACAGAATGCATTTTTTTCTGTTCTTCAACCCACTCCCAACCCCATAGTCTAACCCCATACCTTTAATCTAGATTCTTCTATACTAAGATTACATACACACACACACACACACACACACACACACACACACACGTGTCAAGCATCGTGAGATTTTTTGTTATCTGGTTTTACCAGATAGGTTTTGCCAATAGGTTTGTCTCTTCAAAAAACAAAAAGACAAAACTTTAAAATTCTTTTAAAATTCCCCTGTGTGGGAATAGGGAGTCAAGTAGAAGAATGCATATAATAATATCACTGAAATAATATTGGAAGGGAGGTGATATGTTTGCTTTTCCACATTTGTGCAATATCATTCTAATTGCTCCAGTAAGACTGAGTTACTGCTGTAATTTGAAAGCGTCAAGAAAAGAACGTTTAAAAAAGAACTTTTAAAAAATGTCTCCTAGTATTTCTGTAGTATCATTAGTAGTTTTAAAGTACACTGAAATGTATGTGTATATTCTCTATATACATATACGTGTATAAATACATTTACCGTACTATATACACATACTATGTAAAGTTTAAAGTATATACACATTTATATAAAGAGACAAGTGTATATATATTTTTCTATATATAAAACTATACATTTCCTATGTATTTACATTATAGCAAAGTTCATTGGAGGGGCTATACCTTTTCCAGCAACAATTCATTTTGCCACTTTAAATATTTGTAATCGGTATCGCCCTGCCTCTAAAAGAAGAACTGGAAATGTTATTTTAGAGCAAACAGGAAATCTCAAATGGCAAATCCTGCAGAGCAGTATGACAGTAACATAAAACGGTGCCTGGAAATAGGACCTCACTTGCCTGGAGGCCAGAAAGACCCCCTCGGCATTCCTTCCACTGCGTGTGAATCCTCGCGGTGCCAGCGGACGCCCGGATGCAGGAGGCTCCCTGCCAGAGCACAAGCCACGTCCCTCCACGGGGGCTCACGTGTGGGCCCAGGACTTCCAAGCAGGCATTCTCTCTTATTTGGAAAGGTCATGGATTTTATCTTCTTATTTAGGAAGTAATTACTGCAGAGGTTTTGTTTTGTTTTTACCAGATTACCAGAAAGCTCTCTGAAAGTTACCCCCAGCATGTTCCAGAATGGTCTATCTACCAACCAATGCTGCAATCTAAGGCCTCCTTCATAATCTCACTGCAGAGTACTCAGTACTGAGGAGTACTGAGCCTCAGTACCTCGCACCTGAGGCAGGGACCAGGTGACTGATACACAAGTCCTTCTCACGTTCATTGGCTGCAAAGTCTGATGTGAGCAGGGGTTCCCAGGGAACATAAAATCAGTGCTTTTAATCCTGTATTAGAACAACCTAGTTAAACCTGAAACAAGACTGGAGGTGGTCTGGGGAGAGGAGGGAGACCTCTCCCCTTACTTTCCTCTCGGGGGCATAGACCCCGAAAGCCAGTGCTGACTGACTATACATAGTTTGGTATGTGGTCCGCTCTCCCGGAAGAGCCTCCTCTCTGCTCTGCCTCCGGGATTGGCTTGCCTGGCTCTCGCTGCTGAGGCTGGAGGCTGTGAGGGAGTCCAATAGCAGAGGCCGAGGCCTTCTCCCTGCACCCCCAAGCATTTTGGAGACTGCTGTCATTTGTGGCAGCCTTTCTATTCTGGCTCTATTTGTTCCCATTTTTGAACCATTATAATTAATAATTATATTTTTGGGGCAAAAGAAACCCACACATTATGTTATTATATCAACAACAACAAAAAACAACGCATTTAAGAATTCTTACGATCTGATCCCCATTCTCAAATAAGCCAACCAAAGACGTAAAGAGATTCTTTTCCTGCGGCCACGTTATCAAACTGTAAGGAGAGCTAGCGGGGGATCATGTCTTCACATGGGTTGCTGTAGTTCCTATTTTTCATGCTAAGATTTCATTTTACATTTGCCTTAATTATGAGAGTGAGTTTAATAGATAATAAGAATACGGTGCTTCACTCTGTGTGTCTTTCCTGCTTTAATCTGTCCAGAGACGTTTTTAATCACCTGCAATGAATGATGGTTTATTATATAATTCTGTGGTCTAGATACACACAGGTCTGAAGTCTACTGAATTGCCCTGGGTAATTATAGCATGTGGGGGAAAAAAAAAACGTATCACATTTGCTTACCTTGACCTACTTTAATGAAGAGATAATGTCCTTTATTAGCAGCCACGCATCCAAACGTTCCCCAGCTCCACACAAGTGCATCTCAGCCAGAATAAATGCCCGGTTAATCACAGTCGTTTGGTTTTTGCCTTGCAAAAGCTCTGAGAATGCTGGTGCTTAATTCTCTGCAGCTATTAGAGCACTGTCCAGCTTCCCATGATACATGGGAAAATAATTGCATAATTATTGGTAATTGTTTGCATAATGGGGTACTCAGAGGGTAAACACCTAACGTGTCATCCAGGAATCAACACTCTGACCTTGAGCAGAAAAGTGGAACAGGCAGCTAACAGCCCCTCTTCACGGCACCTCCAGTTAAAAAAACAAAAACAAAAGCAAAAGCGACCCAGTGGGGTGGCAGGGACAGAACCCTGCCCGCTACACCCCGCACAGAAAACGCACGGGAGCTGTCAGATCAAGGTAGGTGTGCACGGGCCACATGTAATGGTGGCAGGGTTTGCTGTGGCCTGAAGGACGGCCCTAAAGCACACAAACCATGAAAGAGAAGCTAAGGAAAACACCAGGCAATCCCTGAAAGAGCCCGAGTCATGCTGGGCTAAGTCAAGTCCCTCCATCGCCCATTCCTCCAGAAAAAACCAAGAGCTGGGGTCCTCACCGGGTTTTATCAATCCCACCCCATGCCCAGTCAAACATAATTTCTCTGGGCAGAAATAATTCAATTCGAATTCTAGCTCTGCAATGAGCTAGTGACTTTGGACAGGACACGTCCACTCGCTGGGTTGAGTTACTGGAAAATTTTTCCCTCTGCTTTCTCCAAGGCATTGGAAATTTTAAGACAACAGGAGAAAATCATCTCACCATTCCAACGCACAATAAAAACTAGAGAACCAAGACGCCTTGTACTCACAACTTGGCGCGCTGAATTGAAACCCCTTTATACGACTACTTAAGGATGATTGTTGAAAAACATGTGGAAGAATAAAAACAGAGACTCTGATTACTCAAGGAAACCCTTAGCCTAGTGCCTCCCTAACTGTGTGCTGTGGTCCTGCTGTGCCTCTTCTCTGTAAGCAAGGCAGAGAGTGTGGGGAGCATCGGAGGAGGCCCGTGGCTGTGCGGACCACAAGGCCCCCTTCCGCTGCCCATGTGCCAGGCAGGATTCAGTGCGGGGCCGCCAGCCTGGAAAAGCCTCCACCTGCTCACCTGCCAGCTGACTTTGTGGAGTTAGTTTAAGTCTGTGAGTCTTCATTTCCTCTTCTGAAAACGGAGGGATAGATCCGTATGTCAATCCCACCGTCAAAGGCTTTTGTTTTTTAATAAGCACTGAAAGAAGGAATCCATCAGCAAACAGGAAACCTGGCACAGGGTGAGCCCCTGGGGGATGATCGAAATGCTGTCTCT